CGATGAGTGTTGCCCGAATAGTGCGCGAACTTTTTTTTTATTTAACATCTAACTAACTGTTGAAATTTGAGAGTTGACATTTAGGAGTTGATATTTGCCATTTGCTTTACATTTGCCTTGCTTTGCTGTGCACATTTCCAGTGGCTTCTTTTTAACAGTTTACCTCTCGTTTCATATTTCTAGCGCTTGCAGCCGAAGCAGCCTCAGTCGCCGCCTCCTCTTGTAAAGGAAGAGATGAATCACGAGCCAAGACATCTGCCACCACCACTACCTGCTCCTGCTCCTGGACCTCCTGGACCTCCTGGTCCTGGTCAACTGTCGACGACGACGACCACCATCGAAGTGATTAACCTTGATAGCGATGAGGATGATAAGGATGCAATAGTAAGAGGAGGAGGAGTACGACAACAAAGTTCTTCAGCTGCTGTGGCCAAGGTAGGTGACCAGCACCACAACTGCAAACAAACAAATGATCAACAAATGACTCATATTTTAACCTTTTCCCTTATATCTAGAGTATGCAGGCTAAACATGAGACGGGGGGACATGTTCCCGAGTTGATTATCATTGATAGCGGCAGTGAGGACGAGGATGATGGAGGAGGTGGAGGACAGCAACAGCAGCAGCAACAAATACTAGCAAACCAAAGTTCGTCCATTGTTGCCAATGTAAGCGAGCACCATTTAGCTGACCTAAATGTGATGACNGGCCAAGGTAGGTGACCAGCACCACAACTGCAAACAAACAAATGATCAACAAATGACTCATATTTTAACCTTTTCCCTTATATCTAGAGTATGCAGGCTAAACATGAGACGGGGGGACATGTTCCCGAATTGATTATCATCGATAGCGGCAGTGAGGACGAGGATGATGGAGGAGGAGGACAACAACAACAACAACAAATACTAGCAGCCCAAAGTTCGTCCATTGTTGCCAATGTAAGCGACCATCACCACCATTTTATTTGACCAGTGATGACGATGATGCTAATCTTTTCTTTCTTTCTCTATCCTCTCTTTTCGAAATCACTCAGAATGTCTCCAGCTCCTCAAGTCACACTAACCACAACCAGAACCAGAACCAGACAAGGCCGGAAAAGAGTAGGCCGCCCCCCAAGCTGCCCCCGGCGCCGCCGTTGATGCCGGGGCTGCTCCGAACGCCCAAACGAATCATTTCGCCCATGAAGGCTGCCGCGGCTGCTACTGCTTCTGGCAAGGAACTTCAGCAATCACAGGCGGCGGCGGCTCCAACGACTTCTGCCGTCGTAGCATCGGCTCCAACAACTTCAGCTGCAGCTGAAGAAGCTGTGGGGCGACCACCGTCGGTGCCCGAACTGGCTTCAGCACCACAGCCNTCTGGCAAGGAACTTCAGCAATCACAGGCGGCGGCGGCTCCAACGACTTCTGCCGTCGTAGCATCGGCTCCAACAACTTCAGCTGCAGCTGAAGAAGCTGTGGGGCGACCACCGTCGGTGCCCGAACTGGCTTCAGCACCACAGCCACCGTCACAACCTTCACAGTCACCACCACCACAACCACAACTTCCACAACAACAACAACTTCCACAAGAGCTTCAACAAGAGCAGGAGTCACAACCACCCGAGCAAGAGTCACAAACTCCCAGGCAACCGCTCTCCTCAATACCTCAAATTGCATCGCCGTCACCACCTCGAGAAGCTGCAGCAGCAGCAGCAGCAGCAAATGAGCCGGCGGAGAATGCTGGCGTCGAGGAGCAACAGCAGCAACCAACCGAACCGGCTCCAGGAGTTGCAGATGCCGTACCGGCTGCTCTGCCATCTCCTGAAGCAGCAGCAGTGGCAGCAGTGGCAGCTGAAGCTAAAGAGCATGAAAACTCGGGCACCGAGTCCTCGAACGAGAGTCACGACAACAATGTCTCCAACGACAATGTTTCCAATGTCAATGTCAACGAAGATGACGACGACAACGTTGACGGCATCAACAACGTCAGCGTCAGCAACGAAAGCCCCAGCGAGGGCAGCACCGCCCAGAGGCAGCAGCCGCCGCCCACCACCACCACCGGTGACCTCTTCTACATTCCCTGTCCCAATGACGGCCGGCAGCGAATGGTGCAGGCGGACGCCTCCATCTACTGCAGCGACACGTGCCTGCGGCAGCACGTCACCACGACCTGGCCGGAGGCAGTGGTGGTCGCTCCCGCCCCCGCCCCAGCCCCCGCCCCCGACCCCGACCAGCCAAATGACCCGCCGAAGGTGGTGGTCCTCCTACTGAACCGAGTCAAGCGGGCGCAAAGCTGCCTGATCAAGACGAAGCAGATGGCGGCCAGCACCCCGGAGGGGCTGGCCGAGCGGATGATGGCCGAGGGGAAGCGGCACTACTCGCTGGNGGCGGTGGGCGGTGGAGGCGGAGCGGCTGGCGGCGCTGGGGCTGCCCGCCCCGCCGGGGCTGCCGAAGGACTTGCGCAGAGGGGCGGCAAAGCCCTCCTCGAATTTGATGATTCCCGGTGGCGGAAGCGGAGGTGGCGGCGGCGGCGGTATCGTTTCAGCAGAGGCAGCAGCAGAGGCTGCTGCTCCTACGGTTCCTCCTCCTCCTCCTGTGGCTCCTCGTCGCCCTCGAGG